ATCGTATGCTATCGTCAAATCGTTAAATATTTTTTATTTTGTTTTTTTTTGAAATATTAAATGTCGATCGGTTTTTTTTTAAGTTCAAAGTTACTAATATTAATCAATGAATGAATGAAAAAAAGACAATATTTCTTTTTTTTGTTTCAATAATCATTAAACAATGTCAGTCAATGTTGTTGTTGTTGACGACAGAAAAACAACAACAACAATGATAATGATGATAATAATAATAAAATCCTTGATATAAATATATTAATTCGACAATTTTAACGACAACAACGATAATAATGATTGAATATTTGTATCCATTGAATTCATGTAAAACATAAGCACCCACATTTTACTTTGTTTCAATATGGATTTACAATTTTGATAAATAATGAAAATGATGATGATCATCATCATCATCGTCGATGACATTTTTGTTGTTGTAATTTTGTTTTTTTAAAAAAAATTGAATCAATTTAGATTATAGATAGATAGATAGAGGTAGAAAGTGGAAAAACATTAGGTTATAACGTAAAAAAAATGTTTATTTTTTCTCACAAGTACGCATGTCTATTTCGAAAAAAAAATTCAATTTGAAAAAGTTTAGAAATTTTTTATTTACCGTTTTTTTTTTGTAAAAAAAAAAAATAAATTCTTCATATAATTCTTATTAATGTTTTTCGTTTCTTTTCTTTTTTTTTCATTAATGATTAATAAATCTGACAACAACGATGATGATGATGATGATGATGATGATATATCATATCGGAATTATCGATTATGTTGTTGTTGTTGTTGATAGAATCAAAAAAAAAAATATGAATGTGTAAAACAAATTTTCTATTTTCTCGACGACAATGATGATGTTAATGTTAATGTTGGTGGCCATAAAATCCATGGTCATCAATATTTGAAGAGAAACCAAAAAAAAATATCATTTATCCAATCGATGATTTAATACTAGAGAAAAAATTATTATTATTAATTTATTCATTAAATATAACTAATTATAGTCATAATAATGATGATGATGATGGTGATGATAACGATAAATATATATAAAAAAAAATTCAAATCAAAATTCAAAACATAATTCAATTTGGGATGTTTCGTCGATGATGATGATCATGATCATCAATGATGATGATTTTTTTTCTTTTCAAATCGTCGTTGATGTTGTCGTTTGTAATAATAATTATTATTTTTATCGTTTTTTTTCTGGTTTTGGATAAGAAATTTAAAAAAAAATTTGTTGTGAAACAGGAAAAACTGGCTAAATCAAATCAGATTGAACGAAAAAAAAACCAAATCACTTTGAATTCAATAATAATGATGATGATTTAGAAGTAACAACAAAAACAAAAAATTAATAAATAACAAATTCACATTAACAAACAAACAAAAAATATCATTCAAAAAATAGATAGAAATATTGTATAATGTTTGATGCTAAAGATCATCATCAAACATTCGATTCTAAATGATTGAATGACTGAAAGAAGAAGAAGAAAATAAAAAGTTTTACCCCAAACAAACAAAAAATTGTTGATTTTTTTGGATATTTTTTTTTCTTCTTCTTCACTATGCTATTATTTTCATTGACAATTCATAAATATATAGTATATATGTATGTTGAAAAGATGTGAAGATTCTCTGATTCTTCTGTTCTCTCTCTATTCGTTCATTTAATCGATTCGATTCAAGATTCTGTCAAATAGCAAAAAAAAAAAAAATTCTATATTCAATGATCAACTATGCGTTGATGTGTGCGTGTGTATCATTTTCATATGGTTTTTTTCATTCATTCATTAAATTTTTCTTTGTAGTTTTTTGTTGTTGTTTTGCACTGTCACTTTGTTATTATTATTATTTAGATGATTATTACGTTGAAGGAATGATGGAAAATTGATTCTATCGTATTGATTTTTTTGAATTTTTTTTCCTGCTGTCATCATCGTCGTTGTTGTTTTCGGTTGTTTTTCAGAGAGAAATTCTGCGTACAAAATTTTTTTGTTTGATTTAATTTTGGATGAAACAAAACAAAACAAATTTAGTTTTTCATTCATTTGATTTTTTTTGATTCTTTTCTCTCTTGACTTTCCGGTACAACATTAGTACATTTGATTAGATAAACATTTTGATGAAATCCGGAAATTCTTATGAAATCTGCTGATTTAGGTTAAAACAAATGAAAATGATAATTCATATATTTATTGCATCAAAACGAACAAAATGTACTGGGAAAAAATTGATTGAATGAATGAAATCTTTTCACCATCATCGAAATTTGAATTTAAAATAACCTTGAAAGAATTTTTTTTTGTTGTTCTGTTCAGAAAAATTCAATGTATAAACAAACAACACAGACATTCATAAAGAGATTATTTCGGTAAAAGTCAGGGTCATTAATGAATTAATGAATTATGATTATTACTTTATGTTTCTTGTGTCTTACAAAACAAAAAATCAATGATAATTATTATTGATTTTTGATAAACAAAACACAAGAGAAAATTGTCATTTATTTTTTTTTTATTTTTTATTTTATTTTTTTTTTTGTTGTTTTTGGTTATTCAATTAAGCAATGATTTTTTGATTGCAATTATGTTTGGTGCAATCATTTATTTATTCCGTTTCGTTTGTTTTGATGCAACAAGTTTTATCTGTTGTTTTTTTTTGTCCAAACCGACATTGATAAATTTTTATTTAAATTTGGATTTTACAAAACAAAACGAAACAATTTGATTTACTGTTTAAAATTCAATGGAAATTCTATTTTTTTCACACACAGAATATTCTTCAAACGATAATGGTCAATTCTGGATAAATGTTTGAAAAAAATTCTGTCAAAATTATTCAGTTTGTTTGTATAACTGGTTTTCAGTTGCATTTGTTTTTTGACGTAAACTTTTATAAAAACTGGATTGATTTTTTTTGTTTTGTTTTGTTTCAACATTTCATCTGATTAATTGATTTCAAAAGAAAAAGAAAATTTATTTTTAGATCATTATCGTCATCATCATCAAATTGAATAAGCTAGAATTTTCTTTTTCTGTCCTTCTTCTTCTTCTTCTTCTTTTCATTATTCTTCTGGCCAATTGAATTTGAACAAAACATAAAAAAAAATTCTCAACAAGTTTTAACCAGAATTATTGAATGATTACAATGAATTTTGAACGTTTCTATTCTCGTTTTTTTTCCAGTTTTCTGATTTGGGAGAAAAAAAATCGAAATCAAATGAATGAATGAATGAATAACTCAAGAATAGTAACAAAAAAAACAAAATTTCAATGATGAATTCAAAATAAAAAGAAAAATTTGAACATTATTCATTATTGAATTGGAATTCATTTTTTTTCAATTCATCATCGACAACGACAATAATGGAAATAACAAGGATTTTTTTCCTCTTCTTCTTTTGAATCAAGAATCACGAATACGGAATCAAAATCGGAAAATCAAAGACAATGATAACGACAAGAAACAACGAAGAACATATCAATAAAATCAAGCACGAACATAAAAATAATCTATTTATATCAAAAACAACAACAAAAAAAACTATATTAAATTCTGTTTATAACTAAGAATAAGCCAACAATATGACATATGATATTTGAAAATTTCTTAATCAAATCAATAAATTGATAATGAAAATCAAATACAAAACAAAAAACAAAAAACAAAAAACAAAAATCAATTTGATCATGTATCAACATTTCAATTGAATTTAATTATAACCATAGATAGATACATAGACAGATAGATAATATCTCTATAAAAACAAGGAAAAACAAATATTATTATGAATTAAGTGAAAAAAAAGAAGCATCATCATAATCATCATCATCATCATCATCTTTCATAATTCATAATGAATTAATAATAATAATAATAATAAAATCCTGCTGATTATGAAATGGTTTATTATTTATTTTGAAATGATATTAATAACAACAACAACATTAACAAAGTAACACATTGGACACAAATCCATAGGATTCAATGACCTAGATTGAAATATACAGAATATTATAATGGTGCAAATTGAGGTGGGGGAAAAAAGAGGAAGAAAATAAAAAGGGCAAAAATTGAAAAAGAAAAAAAACATTTACTTTCTATATCATATTTCAGGGAATTTAAGATGCAAAAAATGAAAAAAATAAAAACATTAAAAGCTAAATAGTACAGAGTGAAAGAACTTTTTTTTTTTGTTTTGTTTTTTTTTGCTGAAAAACAAAAATCTTCTGGTCAAAATTGACTAAGTGCCTTCAATTGCTTTAGATTTACATAAATATAAAAATTAAAAGCAAAAAAAAACTGACCTAAAATCAGAATAATAAAAAAATTAAGAAATTCAACGGAAAATCTATAACATAGAACCAAAACGAATACGAATCTCAATAATCTATATGCACCAGAGAAAAATTACTTTTTTTTCTGAGGGGAAAATGGGAAAAAAATAATGATGATGTCATGTTTGCAAAAAGAAAAACACAAAGAATTTTGGATGACCAAAAGAAAAAAAAAAGAATCAGGGAACATGATGATGATGATGATGAGAAAATAATTCTGGTTGATTTGTTTCAGTTTTCGATTATTTTCGATTTTTTTTTTTGTTTTGTTTTGTTTTGTTTTGATTCCACTCAATCTAACCAACGAAAAACAAACAAATCATCGACAGAAGAATTGAGAATCAAACAAGCAAAAAAAAAAAGAAAAGAAAGAGGAAAGAAAGTATAACGACGATAAATATTATTTACATTATTTACATTCAATAAAATGTTTCTATGCAGGAACCAAACCAAACCAAAACAAACTTTTAGTTTTGTTTCCGGCAAATAGTTGATAGAATACAAAAACCTTTATATAATGTAAATTGATAAAGTAAATTTGAAATGAAAATACATATAAATTGACGATATGTAATGAAGCAGAAATATTCGTCATTTCAGAAAAACAATGAAACAAGTTTTGATTAATTAAAAAAAAAAAAGAAACTTTTTGTCTGGTTTGCTTGAATTAATTTATTTTATTTAGATTCTGAATAATAATAATGTGTTTGTAAAAAAAATCAATTATCAGGGTAAACAAAATATTCAAAATAGTAGAAAATTAAAATTTTAGATGTTTCTGTTTTCGGTAACTTTGTGTCAAAAAAAAACAACAAAATGAATCAATTAATAATCAATTGTTTTCGTAATTCAAGAATTTTTTGTTGAAAATATTTTGATTTATGTGAAAATGAATCATAATAATGTAAATTTGCATCGGTTGTTGGTGATGATGATGATGGTGAATTATTATCATTACCGGTTGATTTTCTTCGTCTTGGTCTTGGTGATGTACAATACTGTGATGGTGGTGATGATAATGATGATGATTCTATTGATTTTAACCATTCAACACTACCATATTGTTGTTGTTGTTGATCATTATGATCCAAATTAAAATTATTATAATAATCATTTGAATCAAAATCGATAACAAGATTACCCAATGAAAAACTTTTCTTTCGTCGTAATTTGCATTTTATTTCAATCGATTCTGTAGAAAGATTTGTTGTTTTTTCTTGTTCTTGATGTTGTGAATCTTTTAGTTCAGATTGTTTCGGTTCGGATTGATTTGCACTGATTTTTTCATCATTATCATCATCATCATCATCATCAATATCGATACTATTTACGTCAATAATCTGATGATGATGTTGATGACGATAATGATTATCATTTTGTGTAGGCGATGAATATTTTAATTGAGAAATTTCATCCATAAGATATTGAATTTGATCTTGATGTTGTCGTATTTCTTCATCAACTTGAAGCATTCTTTTCTGGCTAATCAGATTGAATGATGTTAAATTTTGATCAAATTTTTCTATCAATTCAGTAAGACGATTTGAAACCAATGGTAATGTTTTATCGATTTCACATTTATCAATGTCGGTATTTTTTGTCGGTACACAATTTTGTTGATGTTTAGCTATCATTAATTCTTCATTGAATGATTTTCTTTCTAAATTTTTCATTACTTTTTCCAATATTGAATCTTTATATAGATCGAATGTCATCATTTCATTTGGATTATTATTATTATAACGTTCATTTATAGTTTCATTTAATTTATCTTCTAAATTATCAAAATATTTACATACATTTTGTATCTGATTATGTAATTGTATAGAATCTTTACGTAATAATAATATTTCATTATTTTTATCATTCAATTCTAAACGATTACGACGATTTTCATTCAATAAACGATTTATACATAAAATTAATGTCGATTCTTCTTGATCATCACAATTATTATATTGATCATTATTATTATTATTATTATTAAATGTTAAACAATTCCATTCATCTGATAATATCGTTTTCAATGAATTCATCAAACGATAATAACGTAATTCATGGCTATTATTATTATTATTATTATTTAAACCTAATGATGATGATTCATTTGTTCGTATCTTATTATCATTATCATTATCATCATCATCACCAACATTATTCATTGTAACATTGAGATCATTTATCTGTACATCATTACCAGTCATCAATAATGTTGTTGTTGATGTTTGATTAATTTTTGAATGTTGCTGTATTTGTCGTTTTTGTTCATTTGTACATTTAGGAATTTTAAAAATTTCAACATTTTTCGTATTGTTTTTTGTTGCTGTAGTGTTTGTTGTCGTTGTTGCGGTTGTTGTTGTTGTTGTTGTTGATACATTTGGTAATCGACGAAAAAATTTTCTTGCACGATATATCATTGAATGACGATTCATACTTGATGATTTACGACGTAATGTAACTGTACGTTTTACAACATTATTATTATTATTATTATTGGATATCATTGACGATTGAAAATTATTATTATTATTATTATTTGAAATTGAATTTGAGTTCATCAAACTTGAATAATTACGTAATTTTTTTTGCTGTTTTGTTGTATGACGACGTTGTTGTTTTTGTTGTTGTTGTTGTTGTTTTTGATTCAATTCTTGATGATAATGTTCATCATTATCCGTTATAATCATGTTCATTTCATTCACTGTATGGCTGCCATTGACAGATGATACTTGATCGATTAGATTTTTATCTATATATAAAAAATATATAGTAGCATCGATTACAAAAAAAAGATTACGAAAAAAATATTAAATTTAGATTTATAAAAATAAATTAATAATAATAATAATCATGCTTAAAATATTAAATACCTAATTTTAATAATTTTTGTTCATTTTCAAAATTTTTAGTTTTTTTCAATCGTCGTCGTCGTCGCTGTTGTTGTTTTTGTTTTCGATTGTGATTTGCTACAACTGAATCAGATTCTTCACTTGATGATGATGATGAGGACGATGTTTCGGATAAAATTGGCATCATGAAATCTGATATTTTTGTTTCAAATTTCATAATTGTTGTATTATTTTCTTGCCAACAATGATTATTCAATTCAATTGATTGTTTTTGTTCATCAGAATTATTATTATTAGTTACTATCATAGTTGTATCATTGTTGTTGTTATTGTAAATTTCATTCATAATTATAGTCGATGGTGATGAATTAAAATCCTTAGAATGATGATGATGACCATCAATATTATCATTATTATTATGGCAAATTGTTTCATTATTCAATAATGATCCAGAATTCAAATTATTATTATTACGATGATTAATACATTCATAAATACGATTTCCATATTTTTCTTCATTATCATTATCATTATCGTTATTATTATTATTATTCTTATTACCATCATCATCATCATCATCATCTTCATCATCATCTTCATCATCATCTTCATTGGAATTGATAATAAATCTATCTGTATCAATAATTTTTTCTATCGAACCATGATATTCATTCATCAATAATATATCATTATTTATAATGATATCTTTATCATTATCAATAATTTCATCAAAATCGGATATATTTTCTAAATTATTATTAGCAGCCTTAGCGATAGTAGTTGTAGTAGTTGTAGTAGTAGTAGCGGTAAAATTTGTAACAATTTCATCTTCCGGTACAATAGAATTTAGAATAACACTATCATTGCTACTACTATTACTACCATGATTTGTTAATGATGATCTTCTTGGTGGTGGTGGTGGTGGCGGGGGTGTTGTTGGTGACGTCGGTATTGAAACATTACCATAAATATGTTCATTATTATCATTATCTTGATCATCTAATGATTGTATCATCATTAAATTTGTAAATGATTGACGTTGTTGAAATGTTTTTTTCAATTTTGATGTTGATGATATTACTGGATCATAATAACTTGATCGTGTTTGATTATGTGATTTACTCTTTTCATATAATGGTGTTGATGATAATGATGATGATTTATCTTGTTGTTGTTTTTGTTGATCATTATCATCATTATTAATAGATTGTAATTGTAGCTGTTGATTTAATTTCCAATCTTTATTTTCAAAATAACCTGAATATCGATGATAACGTAATAAACGACGATCAATCGTTGAATCTGTTTCGTTAATTGTTTTCTTTTCATTATCATTTTCAGCATCATCATCATCCGGTCGTTTAGATTTTTCACTATTCGGTCTTTTTGCTATGAACGATGATGATGTTGATGATTGAATTGATTGTTGGCTACAAGAGGGCGGCATTGATTGTATTGAAAATTTATCCGATAAATTTGTTGATAATGATCTTTGTGTATGTGGATGTTGATGTTGTTTTTGTTGTAATTCAATTTCATTAGTACCAGGATCACCATCAAGATCTTCATCAAAGGCACTATTATCATCACAAGGTCTATTTTTAGCTTGAATATAGGCAGTAATTAATGCAAATGAATCACGATTATCATGTAATTGAGCTATTTGTGCTGCATTACGTCCAAATTCATCAACAGCTTCAATATCGATACCATTACCAATTAATGGTTCAATTACACGATAAAGACTTTTAACTTTGGCAGCCAAATGTAGATAGGTTTCTTTTTTCTATAAAACAAACAAAAAAAACAAATTTGATTAAAAAAGAATATTCAAAACAAAACAAATCTAGGACAAGGAATATATTCTTGTTGACATTGACATAATTTCATTGTTTTAATTATTTCATTACAGGTTACCTGGGATATAGCAACCAAAACACGTGCAAATGAATGAAACAACCAATGACAAGGACATATATTTATTTATTTAATTATATTTGTTTTATTCAAAGTTAATATATGTCACAATAAACCATTGATTATTATTATTATTATTATTATTATTTTAAAAATTAAATTAACTTACATGATTACGTTTATTATAATCAATATTCATAGCATTACTAATAATATATAGGGCAGCATCAAGATTATCATTAAGTAATGAATAATGTAATGCCGTATTACCATGTTCATTATCGGCAAGATCAACTTTAGCACCGGCATTAACCAATAATCGTACAATATCATTATGACAACATTCAACAGCTTTTATTAATGGTGTACGGCCATCACAATCCTGTATATCAAGATTTGCACCGGTCGACATTAATTGTTTAATTATTGTTAAATTTCCATTACATGATGCATAATGCATTGGTGTACGTTTAAAATTATCCATTGAATTAACATTAATTGTACGTAAATGTTTACGTACACGATCAACATTATTTAAATAAACTGCTTTATGTAATTTGGTAAATGATGAATCAACTTTTTGTAGATCAATATTATAACCACCACGTATAACACGAATCGATGGCATTGATTGTATCGAAGCCATTGATAATCTTCGTTGATTAAATGTTGTTGTTGATGATGATGGTGATGATGACGATAAACGTCGAATACTATCGAAAAATTTTTTTACTTTCATTGTTATCTGTTCAATAATTAAAATAATTAATCGATCTATTGATTTGATTTGATTAAATGTTTTATGTGTTATGATTTGTAGGAGAAAACAAAAATTGACTTGAATCAAATCTTATTGAATATATCAAATAAGGAAATAATAATGGTGACATGAATTTCATTTCCGATTTTCACTTGTTGTTGTTGTTCTTGTTTTATCATAATCCGGGTATCGGAATTTTTGTTCAACCGGAAATCACAATTTTGTTATTGTTTGTTTGTTTTTTAGGCAAAAAAAAATGTTGCTTTTAACAAAATAAAATGAGCGAACAACAAACAACAACAACAAAAAAAATCTAAAATAGTGGCATATAGGAAAGCGAATGGCCGAAACAAACAAAAAAACATGTGAAAAACAAAGATTTTCTGTTGCTTTTGCTGACAACATCAATTTGATTTTGATTTTGATTTGATACGGATCATGAAAATCAATTGATTAAAAGTTTGTTGAGCATCTTTCATATGCTATCTTAATAAATGAGAATCTAATCATTGAAATTTTTTTTTTAATTTGGATTGATCGGATCAATCAATCAATCAATCGATTGGTTCGATTGATTGATTAAACGATGATGATGAAAAAAATATTTAAATGTTTATCAAATTTTTTTGTTGTTGTTGTATGGTTTCATTTTCAATGTTGAACTAGAAATAATAATAATAATAATATTCTCATTTTATGTCAATTTTTGGTGTCAACGTAGTTTGTTTTTTGTTTTTGATTGATTGATAATGATTTATTTGATTGGTTCGTTGATTGATATGATGATATAGTATCATAAATCAAAAAAAAAGAAAACAAAATTCTAAATGAAAACAAAATAAAATGGATGATAATGTGTGATGCGTGTGACAAATTGACAAATTAAACAAAGTTTTTTTTTGTTTTGATGAATGTTTTTCTCACTAAAGAAACGGTGATATTTCACTGTTGTGGAATCAAAATGATTGACACAAATGTCATGATTTGATGGTTTTTTTCGATGAAATATTTATGATGATTCTTTCCGGAAAAAAACACAGATAAACAAAACAAAATTCAACATGGAACACGTTTTTTATCGATGAAATTTTTTCTGGTTTTTTGATTTTTGATTCATGAATCCACAATTTCGAATGTTTGATTACAATAATATTCGATGTAAGGTAATATGACGCATATATACACCACCACCAACACACACAATATTCAATTTTGAATTGAAAAAAAACCGAATGAAAATAAAAATAAATAAATGGTGAGTAAGACTTTTTCATAGATTCTTTTCTTTTCTTTTTGGTTGTTTATTCTTATCTATGGGTCGGTCTGTATGTTGATTGGTTTCTGCTGCAGCAATTCCTAAATACCACACACACACACACATATTATCAATGAAACAGACTACTTCTTCAACTTCTTAAAACACGTTTTTTTTGTTTGTTTGTTTGTCTTCGGGTTATGGTTAGTTTTTTTTCATCATTTCCTCATGTCATGAATGTAGAGCTGTTGCTGTTGTTGTCTTGTCAATGGCTGATTGCTTGATTTGGTTGAGTTTTTTTTTTCATGTGATGATGATTATAATGTTGTCCGACAAAAAATAGACCCACCGACCAATTCATTCGTACAATTCATATGGTGTGTGTGTCTGCAACATTTGCAACAAACAACAACAACAAAAAAAAATTTGAGTCAGTCAGTAAGTCAAATCAAATCAAATTGTTCAGACAAGAAATGAATCTATTGAAGAAAAAAAAACAAAAAAAAACAAATGCTATGTCTGTATCTGTTTTCAAGGCGAAAAGAAAAAATCTGAGAATATTTATGTATGATTATGGATGGTTGGTTGTTGAATGCAGAAATTGTTGTTGTTGTTTGGTTATTAGAGAAGTGTGTAGTGTAGGTTCCTATACTACCTCTCTCTCTATTTCTTGCATCTCTTTTTTCATGATTCAAATGATGATGAAAAAATAGCCGTCGTCAATGTTGATTTTAATGATGATTTTTCTGTTTCTTTTTCTGATTTTGCAAAAAGGAAAAAAAATTTTTTAGGATTAGGCATCATCAAAGGTATGAATCATTTTTTTTTCTTTTGAAAAAATTTACATACCTTGCTGCTGATTTGAAAAAAAAATCTGGTTGGATACCAAAATCAATCAATCAATCAATCAAATCATTCATTTGGAAAACCAATGATAACCATCATCATCATCATCATGGTACCATTTCTATTAATCGATTAAAAAAAATCGATCAACTTTAGGTCAGTCAACAACAACAACAAATGTTGTTTAGATTAGATTGAAGTGAATTGGATTGAAAAAAAAATCTTTTGGTATCCATGCATGTGTGTGGTTGTTGTTGTTGTTGTTGATTTGAAGCAATAGCAAAAAAAAAGCAAAAAATGTTCACTCTTGTTGATCATTTTTCGTCGTTGTTGTTATTGTCGCCGGTTGTCGTTTGTTTGTTTGTGTTATTAGAATTATAATGTCGGTGATGGTTGCTAATATAAATTTTGATCATACACACAAGCACACACAATAATTTTTTTTTTTGGTATCCTGGTTACGGCCAGTCAGCCAGCCGCACATATGTTGTTGTTTTTGATAGGAAAAATTAAGACAACCAAAGAGAAGAATTCAATGATGATGGCTGTGGAATGATGATAGTGAATGGCATAAAGGATTTATTTTCATTAGTTGATTGAAATTTTGTTCATTTACATTTTCGTCTTAATAATAATAATAAATTATGAATATTTTGATGTTTGTTTTTGATTTTTATACCTATTTTTTATGTATATTTATTTATCATCAACATTTGATTGATGCGGATCATTTTTTTATGGTCAATTTGCTTGAATGTTATTGTTGTTGTTGTTGTTTATATTTAGTCATATTACATGATACACAAACAAGCCAAAAAACATTACACGGATAATTTTTTTTTACTAATAATTTTTATTTTTGGAAAAAAAAATTGCGGAAATTAAATGTCAAAAGAAACGATACGGAACCAGTGCAACAAAAAAAAAACAATGGAAATTTGTTTGAAAAAAAAATCTTTATCAATAAATTTTTTATTCAAAGTTCAATGGACAAAAACAAAAACAAAAATAAAAACAGAAACAGAAACACAGAAACAAAATCATTATTCGAAATTGAATGAGCGTACATTTTCTTCTTCTTATTTTCTGGGATTCTTTTTCTGAATTTTTGGTCGATTCCATTTACAATTTTATCAGTTTCCGTCTCTCTGTGTGTATAGTTGATGTGTTAAAAGGAAAACATTTTGTTTTTGTAAACTAAAACCCAAACCAGATGCAAAACAAAAAAATAAATTGAATGTATTATTAGTGAAACTTGTCATTTATATATATGAAAAAACAGCTAAATAAAAGTCTGTGCGTGTTTTGTTTATCCATTTCAATTTATTATTTTTGTCCGGTCTGGTCATTTGAAATAAGATTCGGAAAAATAAATTGACCAAATTAAATGTCGCGTGTACAATATGTCCATATGTTTATGTTTATGTTCATGAATGAATTATTATGGGTGGGTGGATAAATGAATTGGTCAGAATTTTGATATCCCGAAAACAGATGCAGATGTTTTCCAAAAATGAAAATAATTACAATAAATCACTTTTGGTTTCTGTGTTCAATTGGAATTGGTCAATATGATAAAAATATGGACGAGTCGATTTATTGAAAATGAGAAAATAGTAGCCAATTGGACTAATATTTTTCAAACAAAACAAAAATTATCAAATTTTTTAACATCATAGGAAAACAAATATACAAAAACCAAAAATCATATTCCAAAACAAAAAACAAACTAAATGAATGGTGTCAAGGCTAATTTTTTCTACATTCAATGTGAACGGGAAAAAAAATTTGCAATGTGCATATGATATCACAAACAAGCAAACAGAAAAAAATATCATTAAAATCAATGGGAGAACAAAAAAAGAATAGGCATTGATTTCATTTGTATAAGGACCTTGTCTCGTTCATCATTTCTTTATTTCCTTCATTTCATTTTTTTCCAATTGATTATTTTTTTCTAATCGTTTTCAAGATGTAAAACAATGATGATGATGATCGTTGCCACCTACACACACACAAACATGGCCATTTTATAAAATCTAGGAAATCGCGGAACAAAGCGACGGGAAAAAAATTCCGGTTATTTCAACTTTGAAATTTTATTGCAAAAAAAAATTCTTTAACAATTTTTTCATCAATCGATTGATTTGATTGATTGGATTAATTAATGGAAAATAAATAGCCATAACATTATCATTGATTCATTCTTTCATTTTTTTTGTTTGGTTGTTATATAATAAGCAAAAAAAAACATGATAAACAGATAATAAAAAAAAAGAATCCGGAAGAATGAACAAGAAAATGGTTATGTCTAAAAAAAACAACGATGGATGGATGATAATCAAAAAAAAAGAAAGAAGGGTATCTTTCTATTATTATTATATAAGGGTTATGTTGTTGCTTAAATCGGCATTTTTTTGATTATAATGATAGGTTGTTGTTGTTGTTTTTATTATTACTTATTTACATTATAAGTAAGTAAGTAAAACAAAACCCGTTTTTATATTATTTTTTGATATATGTCGATGTTTTTTTTGGTAAAATCTGTGTGTTTGTGTGTATGTATGTATTATATTTTTTGTTTTCTTCTAAATAATTATATTCAGGAAGTATTATTAAATCAATCAATCAATCAATTAATATGAATTATTTTCGTGTTGTTGTTGTTGTTGTTTTCATTCATTTTTTTTTCGATAATTTTTTTATTTTCATTGAGCAGCCAATGAAATAATACCGCATCCAACTCTACCACCGGCATTACCCGTTGTACGGCTATCTTGTTGACCACCTCGACCAAGATCATCTTGATTGGCATGTACCTTGTTATTGTTTAGATTTTTGTTGATTAGATTAATTATTGAAGGGTACAGAAATTGAAAAAAAAAACTTACAACTACACCACGACCAAGAATTGAATATTGTCCAGTCAATGAAATACGTTGATCTAACATATTAAATTCAGCCATACCATTTTGATTGGCTTCAATATTACCCAAATCACCGGCATGTCTTTGTTGATCATTTGGTGCACCATGATTATTATTATCTGGATTAAAATGTCCACCCATACTAGTACAAGAATTACGTGTATCACCATATTGATGTACATGAAAACCATGTAAACCGGGTGTCAATCCGGTTATACGACCGGATACTTGTAAATTCATTGAATTTGGCTAAAACCAAAAAACAAAAATTTTTAAATTATCATTCAAAAATTAATAATCATAAATACCATTTGTCGAAATTGTACAATTCCTTGTACATCTTTGCCTTCAATTTTTGCAACAGCAACTAATGGTTCGGAACTGGAAGTTGCAGTAGATGTTGATGATGATGTTACTTGTATTGTTGATGTTGTTTGTCTTGTTGGATAATAATTTCGTTGCTGTTGTTGTTGTTGTTGTTGCGGTACAACTGAATAGAATTGTTGGAATGGTTGTTGTTGTTGTTGTGGTTGCTCAAAATAACTACGATATCCTTGCCATGCATTACCATGATTATTTTGATAACCATTGCTACCAATACCAGAAGTAGGAGCAACAGCACCATTACTATTACCAAAATATGATTGACAATTTACACTAATCATAAATAATATTTGATAACAACCAAAGGTAAATAGAATAATTTTGGAAATATTTCCAATAGCCATAATTATTGCCATTATTGTTTGTTTTCGTTTAAAGAAAATGATTTATCGTTCGATCAAAATTATTGCCTGAAAATAAGATTGTAAAAAAGAATTGGATTTTTATTTTTTTTTTTTTTGTAAAAAAAATTTAAAATATTCATACCTTTATCAAATGTTTGAACTGTTTGGTTATGTGAAAATGTAAAAAATTTTTATAAATATCAATAATAAACGAAAATAATCAAAATAACAAACAACAACAACAACTTGTTGATATCAAAGACAAATTCAAACAACAACAACAATAACAAACAAACGAAAACAACCAAGGTAAGTGGATATTATTTATATATAAAGGATGTTGTCACTGAATAATGATGATGATGATATCGTTTTTTTTCTATGGAAAAAAGGGAAAATTTTTTTATTTTGAAAATGAGAGAAAAAAAAGTGAAAGAGAAAATTTTGTTTTGAATGAAATTAATGAAGTGAACATAACAACAAAAACGAAAAACCAGAAAAACTTTGAAAGAGAAAAAAAAATTAAATGATGCTGAATCGACATCAATGATAATCATAGGATATCATCATTATCATTATGATGATGATGATTATCATCGTGATGTTCTTTAATTAATGATAGTTGTTGATGATGATGATGATGATGACATAATATGCAATGATCAACAGAAATGTTCGAGTTTTTTTTCTGAAAATGTCAGCCAATTTTTTTTTTTTTTGTTTTCGTTATTGTCAATTGAACGGATAAATTGATTGATTATAGACTTTTTTGTTTTAATTATTGATTATTTTTTTTCATTTATTTTCAATAATTTTTTCCTTATTTTAATTTAAAAAAAAATTGAAATTGAAATCATTTTTTTCTGAGGGGAAACAAGAAATTCGGAATTTTAGGAACAAAGATGTTTTAAGAAATTTTCAATTTATAATCAAATCCAAATATAATTCATATGATGGTCAAGTTGATTGTAGATTAAAATCGACTACCACGTCTTCCGCCACCACCACCACCACGACGATTAAAGATACGATTCAAGAATCCACCACGTCCATTACCACCGTTATTATTGATTCCGTTATTAACACGATTTTGTCGTCCACCACTCCCACCACCACCAATATTATTACCACCAGAACGAGGTGGTGTTGGTCCCAATGATAATGGACTTACTTGATTATAATTACGTGGTTGTCGTCTTTGTGCTATAACCGAACCAATCAATATAATAATGGTCATAATCATGACCGTTGATAATGATAATGATGATGATAGGAAACGCATTTTTGTTAGTCGAAATTAAAACCAAAAAACTTTGAAAAACTTAAAAAAAATTTCAAAAACCAAAACGCAATTAAACAGAGAAATAAAAACGTAAAGAAAATGATTGAACGTTGAAATGTTTTCCATCGTATCGTTTTTATATCGAAAATATAAAATCTGTTGAAATTTTTTTCCTATTCAATGTCCACAATTGAATACCTCCTTATTTATTTAGTCTTTACATTTGTATTTGTATTTTATCGATTACACAAGGTTGTATAGAATGAATGAATGTTACATTCATGATATTTCATTTTTTTTTATCTTTGAATTTACCTGAGGGCTGTTGTGTTTGTGTGCATGTGTGTTTGTTTTGGTTTTGACATTGAAAATATTCACAATTTAGTTTCGATGATGATGATGATAGTGATAATGATAATGATTATAACAATCTTTACTGTTCACATCTTCTTTTACAAACAAAAACACAAGATGCCAATGTTGTTGGACATCAATATTTTGTGCATTTTTTTCCTTTTTGTCTTGTGGTTTGAAACAAATTTGATTAATTTCAAGATTCTTTCAAAATTAGATTTCAATGTTTCAAAATTGATTACATGATTGAAATGAAATCATTTTGAAAATCAAATATTTGATTTTCAAAAAAAAGGGTTAGTTTTACAAAGGTGATATGTATTGATTGATTGAATAATTCTTTCACACGCACTCTGATCATCATTTATCATTCTATAGTTATGTATGTCAGCAAATAGAAAAAAAAATTACATCAATTTCGACCATGAAAAAAAAAATTAAAAAACCCATATTGATATCGAATCAAACCAATCAATCATTCGACAAGGTTGAATTTCTTTTTCCATTTTTTTAGATTCATTCATTCAACAACATAAAGCAAATTTCATACGTATAAAATGTTGTTTTTTTTGCTCTGTTTTGTTGTTATTTGTTGATGCGTTTTATGTTGTTTTTTTTAATATTTTCGATTGAATGATTTCCTATATTTCTTAATATCCAATCAGTCAGTCACGAGATTTTTTTTTTTAATAATTATTATTATTATTATCAAAATTAAGGATTATTAACCAATTCTTTAATCAGAAAAAATCTGATCATATGACATTTTATCGATATCATATCGATAAAACAAATTTTCTGGAATCCATAAGTGTTAATAGAAAGCAAAATGTTTGTTTTTTTCTACGATAACAATAATCTTATCAATCAATCAATCGATTTTTCTTTGTTCCAATCGATTTTGTGTTAAAAATTCTCACAATTAGATTCTTTGACCTAAATTTTCAGCATAATCATTAACCTCAACAGCAACAACAAATTGAAAAAATTCTTAATATTTCAGTCAATAAACCGAACGGAAAGTGATATTATTTCAATCGATGACTAATATCTTTGTTCAAACATTATTGTTGTTGGTGGTTATGATGATGGATTATCATTATTATTTCACATGTTGCATTTCATACCAAAAAAAAGAAAAAACAATCCCATTGACAATAGCTATATTGAGAAATAGAGATAAGCAAACTAAACTTAAAAAAAACTGGAACATTGTCATCATATTAACAGTTTCTATAACAACGTTTATCCTTACGGTTTTTGATTATAATTCTATAATCTATATGGAACACAAGGGATATGGAAAGAGAGAGAGAAAGAGAGAATTTCATTTTTTTTTTTTGGTTGGATTTATTATAATCTAAATGATTATAGCTAATTTATAACTGATGCAAGTTTTCCATTAATTACAAGGTAAGCATCATTTTTTTAATAAAAAAAATGCATAATTCCTTCATTAGAAAATTTTAGTGATGAAATTTATTTCTGTCTGCTTTTAATTACAATGTTTGATGTAGATGATGATGATATTACGTATTTGTCATTTTGATGTTAATCATACCAGAGAGTAGAAAATATTTGAAAAAAAGAGGTAATTGAGAGAGAGAAAAAGTAAAGATCTCATAAATCCATTTTCATAATTTAAAATATATCGATAAAAAAAAAGACGACAGCTTTAAATTTCATTTTAATTTCTCACGTCGTGTTCAACAACATATTACAACGATAATTTATCTTCTTTTTTTTCTTTGTTTCACTCTTTCTTTCTAAAAAAAACAACCAATTTAATGTAATGATGATACTTGAAATCTTTCAATTTTTTTGTTTGTGTGTGTGTGATTGTTTTCAATTAATTAACCTTATCAATCAAAATGTTTTCATCTAATTTTTTTCTATTTTTTTCATTATCATTTTAGATTTTATTTTGAATTGAATCGATTTCAACTATTTCAAGTAAAAAAATGGGTTTCGATCAAACACGTTTTGAATCAAAAATTACCGATGAATTTCTTTGTCCAATTTGTTTAGATGTTTTAAATAATCCTGTTTATCTACCAAATTGTGAACATGTTTATTGTATGGAATGTATACAAAATTGGATGACAAAAAATAAAACACAAACATGTCCAATGGATCGTATACAATTAGATCCGGATAAATTTCAACAACCATTACGTTCATTTTGTAATCTATTAAATCGTTTAAAAATTCGTTGTCAATTTAATTCCTGTAATGAATATATTTATCTTTCGGATTTAAAACAACATGAACAATATTGTTTTCATAATCCAGATAATTTAAATAAAGAAATTCAATGTTCTAGTTAAGTATATTTTTAATTTATTCCATTAATTAATTGATTCTAATTGTAATATCTTTTGTTTTATTTTACTTTTTACTTTTTTCAATGAAAAAATGATTATAGATTGTGATTTAAAAATAAAAATTACTGAACAAAGACATGATTGTTTAAAAGATTTAAAATCGATAATTGAAAAATTAAATAAAATAAATGAACAAACTAAAATAAATTTAATGGAAAAAACTGAACAATTTAAACAACAACAGAAAACAATTGAATTGTTGAAGAAGAAAAATTCTGATCTAGAACAAATGGTAAAAAAATTACGTGAAGAAATTCAAGCTAAAAATGATGTTTTAGAAATGTCAAATATTCAAAATATTGATCATAACCATACAAACAATTCAAATCAACAACAACAACAACAACAAATATCATCAATATTATTGAATGATTGTTTGTCTCAAATTAATAATGATAAAACATCATCATTTTCAATTCCAACAATAATGAATAATAATATGTTGATAGTACGAAGACGACGTGCACCACCAATACCACCACCAAAACCACCACGTTTAATATTATCATCATCATTATCATCAACAATAAATAATAATAATAATGAAGAAATATTGATTGATCTTGATTCAAATAATAATAATAATAATAATAATAGCCAAGATTGTCAACCAAAATCAATCAATTTGAATCAATTAATTAATTATAATAATAGTAATCAAGAGGATTCTACATCATTATCGTCATCGTCGTCATCATCATCATCATCATCATCATCTACATTACAACAACAACAACCATTATCATCACCGTTACCACCAACAACACCAACACAATCATCATCATCATCATCATCATCATCATCAGTATTTGATATATCACATGTTTTACAATTTTTAAATCAAAAAATTACACTTATCGATACAATTACTAATTATAATCAAATGAATAATAATTCAAAAAATTTAAATGTTCATCGTGCTTGTTCATTGGTTGACCGTAGACATTTTTATGGTACAAATATAAATATTGATAAAAGTATATCGATTATGGTTGGTAAAAAAAATTCACATTCATTTCCATTAAAATATGAGATACGTTTATTAGAATATATTGGTAATGTTTTTTTTGTTTTGTTTTGTTTTAATTTAGAAAAATTTATTAATTTTGAATTTTATTTAGAACCATTTTTACGAAAAAATTCTCGTGTTTTAGATATTGGTTCGGGTATGGGTCATTTAACTTGTTTATTAGCAAATCTATGTCAATTTGTAGTCGGTATTGATAATGTTAAAGAATTGGTTAAAAAATCGCAAGAAATTGTAGCAAAATATTATCAAAATTTACAACTTTGTTTTTGTAAAACAGATGGCCGTAATGGTTGTGAAAATTATTCACCATATGATTTAATTTTGATTGAACCAATAATACGTACCGGTACGGTACCTGAAAAATTATTTCGTCAATTAAAACCAAATGGTTCAATTATAGCTATTGTACGTTTTACAGATGAATATCAACAATTATTACAACAACAATCACAACAACAACAACAACAACAACCACAATTAAATCGATTTCAATTAGTACGATTTATTAAAATGAATAATTTACAAATAACATTAGAAATATTATGTAATGATCATGATTGGCTTGTACAGAATCATAAAGATTGTTTTCAATAATAATAATAATTCAATCAAGATTTTGTAATTTTTTTTTAATTTATAATTTTTTAGATAATTTTGTTTTTGGAATAAAAATTTATTATAAAATTTTTGTTTGTTGTAATTTTTTTTCAACTTTGAATTCTTTTTTTCTTTTTCTTTCTTTTTTTGTGTGTTCAGTTTCAATGATAAAACATTGACGTTTGTACGTTTCGTTCAATTCCAACCAGCAACAACAACAACAAAAAAAATCGCATTATATAATCATATAAAAATCAGATTTCTCTCTCTTTTCGATAATTAATTGATTGAATGCGATCGAATTTCAATCAAACAATCTTTGCGTTCATTCAGTGGGGATGAACGCAAATAATCTGTGTGTTGAGAGGGGGGAATGAATGAATGGAAATTGATTTTTTTTTCATTTCATTTTAGTTTTTGTTGATAAAAATTTTGGTAAAATGATATCATACACAAACACACACACAGATATATTCATTTTGTTTCGTTTTCGTATATATTTGATGTATGTATGTGTGTATTTGATGATGATAATATTTTGATTATGATATTAAATATGAAATTCAATATGATTCGAATCGAAAAAAAACAAATCAAAAAAAAAATTGATTTTCAATTTGCCAAGAAAAATAATAATTGATTGATTTCATTGAAAGATTATGAATTTTCAAGAATTCCTTCTTCTTCTTCTTTCATTTTATTATTTTATTAATCATCAATAATGATCATGATGTAGAGAGATGTTGTGTAAGAAAACCAAAAAAAAAACCAAACTCAAAATACAATCCGTACTAATATCACTAAGATTAGCTAAATAATTATGAAATCATATCATCATTGTGAAATAAATAAATAAATAAATATTATTTAAAAAAGATTTTTATATTTAAAAACTGAAAATTTGATATGATGATTAAATTGATGCGTATTTTAAGATATTATATCCGGCCATTTCTATTGAACCAGCAGCAAAAAAAACATGTGATTCATTTCAATTGTCAATAATAGTGAAGGAAGAAAAAAATCATCTAAAATGAATCAATATGGAAAAATCCAAATTCCAAAAAATAAAACTGACCAATGACAATGACCTTTTGATAAGTTTTTCTGGAATCTGATTGAAGGATTTTTGTTTTCTTAAGATTCACTCACAACGTTTGAAATGTTTGAATTTTGTATCATTGTTTCGCGAACAAATAATGAATTTTTGGACAAAATCAAAATGAAACTTGACTAAACTAAACTTTTTTTTTCATATTTTGTTTTTCTTGGCTTTGTTTCACCCATCTTTCCCTTCCAACCAGAAAAAAATGGTTAGTGGTGGTATTTTATTTGAAAATTGATGATTATCATTCATTGAATGATGGTGATTTGATGAAGAAAAAAAAAGAAATTGCGTAGAAGGGGGAAAAAGAATGGAAGGGAAAAGAAAAGAAAAAGAAGAAAAATTTTTATCTTTTTTTTGATTTTTTCATTTTGGATAAAGTTTGTTGATCAAAGATGTGATCATCATCATCGTCATCAATAATCAATAAATATCCAGAGAAAAATCTTTCAACAAAAAAAAAATTATCTATCTCGTGATTCTATTTTCATTCGGGCAAAGAAAAGAAAAAATTCATCCCCATCAAATTGCGATTATCAGGAAAAAAAATCTTCCTATTTTTTTCTTCTTCTTCTTCGTCGTCGTCGATTGTTAAGACAAACTCTAAATAAATAAATAAATAAAAAAAATTGACAGGGAAAATCAAAAAATAAAAAAATTAAATCAAAAATTAAAGTCAAACATTTTTTTCAAGCAGTCCCAGGCAGTTTTCTATCAACTGTCAACAATAACAACAACAACAACAAGAACAACGACGACATCCAGAGAGAAATCAAATCAATTAAATTTTAAATTGAATTTGGTGTGTTTTCTCCCCTCTCTCTCTCTCTCTCTCTCTCTCTCTCTCTCTCTCTCTCTCTCTGGTTTTTTCTGGTTAAATCTTGATGATTGGAATTTTATTCGGTTAGGTTTTTTTCATTATTATTATTCACATTTGCATATTATCTGGGATTTTTTTTTCTTTTTGGTTTGGTGGTTTGGGTGGTGTGTGTGTGTGTGTGCTGGTAGAAATGATAGTTGTTGATATTGAACCATGGGGTAGTAAATATCTTGATTTATTCGAATGTCGGGTAATTTGTTTTGTTTTTGAAATTATTATTATTATGATTGTGTATAATGAAAGGTATAATTTTATTCGTAATCATGAATTTGGAAAAAGTGATGAAAAATGAAGAAGCGAATTTTTTTCTTTATCATCAAAAAAAAAATTTTCATGATTATTATTGATGATCATCACGAAGACTATGATGATCAAATGATCGATGATGTTTTTCTGTTTAATAATAAGGGTTTCTCATAATAATTTGATTTGATGATGATATCGGTAAGAAACCGGTAAACAAAAATCAGGATTCACCAAATCATTTATTGCTTTTGATCAATAGATTTTCTGGTTAAATAATTCCGCTATAATGATTGATTAACTGTTGATTCATTCATTCATTATCGTCATCGAAATGATCAACAGGTTGGATCGAATCAATTTCCGCAATTTTTTTTTGGCTCTTTTAATAATTTTTAATTTCGGAAAAAAATGACATCAAATTCAATTCAATTATAGAAAAAATTTAATAATTTTTTTTGTAAGAAAAAAATACAAAATTAAATTAAAAAATTAAAAATTCATCATAAAATGCGCCATCTTTTGACCGAAAAACTTAAAGAAAAAAAAATGGCGTTCTGTTTCGATGTTCGATAACATTGTTATGAACCACTATCATTTGTTATGTTATGCTACTACGAGTATACAGTGTATCTGCCCCGGGTGTAGATTTATCCGTTTTGTTCAGCATGATGATGATTGTGATGAGCACGATACAGAGTTTTCGAGCCCAGAAAATTAAAAAAAAAAACATTCACTGTAACTATCGTTTTGTCTTTGAAATAAAATTCACATCAATAATAACAAATATTAAAATTATAACCCGAATTCGATAAATTGAATTATTGTATTTTTGTTTGCAAAATTTTTCTCAATTAAGAATTCATATCACCAAAAGAAAAGAAATCTAATTTGAGCAATTATTTTTTTTTAGAACCGGGCAGCGGTGATTATGATAACCGTATAGTGAATACGGTATTATACGTTCAATTCTCGCATCATTTTCAATACAGTGTTGTTTTGACTTTTGAATTTGAAATTCCCAAAAAATTTTTTTTTCGGGTTTCAAATTTTTATTTTTATTAAAGAAACGATCAATTGATCGATCGAATAATGGCTTCCAATGACGATCATAACATCATTCAACATGACAACGATATTCAATTTGAATCACAAAAATCATCAACATCATTTGATCATATTATTTCAATTAATTTGAATGAAAAATCATCAACAATTAATGATGATGTTAATCAACAAACAGCCACATTTACAGCTGCTGAACAGGTTCTTATGCAGATACAGAATCCATCCACAGAACTTGAAATTACTAATAATAATAATAATAATAATAATAATGAGGATGGCGATCATAGTATTGTTGATATTGTTGTTGTTCCTGAAACAAATCATTCATCAACAGCAAATGTTGAACCAATAAAAATGATTGTTGAAAATGTTGTTGAAAATATTTTATCCAAACAAGGTAAGGCATTTTTCATTAATGACCGGATATTCGAATCATTTTTTTTAAATGTCTTTATCGTAGATGACGTTACCGATATAAATAATGAAAATATTTTGATAAGAAAATCATCACGAATACTTCGATTACGAAAAACAGATAATAATAATGTTAATAGAATCAATGATGAAGAATTTATTAATAATGATAATGTCGATGATGAAGATAATGTAAATAATGATCAAAATAAACAAACAAAAAAACGTCGAACAATCAAATCGAAAAATAATGATAATGATAGTGATGATGAAAACGATAATATTGATGATGATGATGATGATTATCATGAAAATGTTAATGGTGGTGGTGATGATGATGATGATGAATTTCGTCCGCTTAAAAAACGTAAAATTATACGACGAAGTAAACAGACCGCTAATAAAATTACCACCGCCAATACTAATGCTACCAACAACACTACCGCTTCGACTAACACAAAAACAGGATCAACATCCAACGAAACAAATCGTATTCAACGAATTCGTATGGCAAAAGATCGTGAAATTGAACGTTTACAAATGATATTATACAAATGTTATAAACATAATATGCTCATTAACAAATTGAATCGATTATTAATGAAAATGAATGGCTGTCTTATGGATAAAATCTACAACACTATGAACGCTAATAATAACGATAGAAATAATGAAGATGATGAATCATTATCAATGATAAGTGTAGGTAAATCATTATTAACATTAATTCGTTCGAAACAGGATTTACCAGATATGGATAATTTTATTGCTCAATATGATGATCTAATCAAACAATATGATCAGTTAGATCAAGAACGAAAAGAAATCCTCGCCAAAATTGATGATGAAAATGTTGAACAATCATTAATTGATCAAACGATTGGACCGTATCTACGAAAACCGAAGAAAAAATTTACAATGTTTGATATGATTGGTGTTGATCGTCCTATCGCGAATAAATCTACACCGAAAAATAATCGAAATTCAGAATCGACGATAACGAAGAGAAAAAGACCCGCCATCACAAATTTTACTGAAAGTCATGTTCCGAAAAAAGCCAAATCAACAACAGGTGATACGCCGTTACGTAACACAACATTACGAACAAAAAAATCAAAACGTAAAACCAATATACCGATTAATCAAGAAGATTCTTCAGCTGAAATATTGGATGGTGATGAAAAAGCACAAAGTTATCATCCATGTCCATGGATAAATTGTACATATGAAAGTAAACGTGAATGGGCATTAAATGAACATATAAATCTAACCCATACTGGATTGAAACAATTTGGCTGTAAAGTTGATGGCTGTCCGATGATGTTTTTCAGTTCATCTGAATTAGATAATCATATGAAAAAATGTCATGTCGAAGCAGCAAGCAAAGAATTTATGCCCTGTACATGGCCCGGTTGTAATGCATTATTTAAATCAAGATTAGGTTTACGTGCACATCTACAGGTGCATAAAGGTGAAAATCTTATTCAATGTGATTGGCCTGGATGTAATTATACAGCAAAAAATAAACGACAACATGAAAATCATTTACGTAAACATACGGGTGATCGACCATTTTCATGTGATTATCCGGGATGTGATTCAAAATTTCGTACAAATGATTCATTACGACATCATAAAAAATCACATTCCGAATATCGTCCATTTCGTTGTGATTGGCCTGGATGTGAAGCAAATTTTAAAACAAATCGTGGTCTTACCATACATCGAGCTTTACATACTGGTGAAAAATTATTCAAATGTGATTGGCCGGATTGTGAATTTGCATCCGAACGTAAATATCATGTTGATCTACATGTCTATGAAAATCATACTCATATTAAACCATATCCATGTTCATGGATGGGTTGTGATGCTAGTTTTCTACGTAATGATAAACTACAGAATCATTTGAAAATACATCGTCAAGAAAAACCATTCAAATGTATACATCCATCATGTGAAAAACATTTTGTTGAAAAAGGTAATATGATGAAACATTTTAATAATGTTCATAAACGATAATATTTTGTGAAAGAAAGCATTTTGTTTTTTTTTTGTGAATTTATTCATTCATTTGTTCATATGATATATTTTTTCTGAAACTTTTACTACGGAAATAAAATTCATCAATAATTTTTTGAAATTTTTTTGAAACAATTATTCCATTTTGATCCAAATAGCCTTGATCGGGTGTAAATATCAACGTGATGAAAACAAAACAACAAAAAAAAAATTGCATCGAAACAAGGCGTGTATTAAAAAGGTAGTAGTTTGATCCGATGTTGTTGATGAAAACATGTGGTTATAATGATTTCGATATTAAAAACTACTACCTTTTTTTGGATAATAACAGCTGCATGAAAGAATGAAATAATAAAAAATTATTTGGTAGTAGCATTGATGATAGCTAGACCATCATTTAACCAGCAACAGCATCAACAACATAACAATGAAATATCCGTATTATTGAAGTGTTCGACGACAACGTCAACGTTGATGATGGTGTTGATTATCATGATTATCAAATGAAAGAATTCTGGTTGAAATTCTAATCCGGTCGAAAGAATTTCTTTTACATTATGAATTCTTATGTTTATAATTTGTTTTGTTTTTTTTTTTGAATATCAAGTTTTGAATCTCTTCCCGTCCCCATCATCTTGAGTTTTGAAAATTCATTCAACCATCACAAAGATTAATTATAATTGATCAATATAAAGATTAATCGATCAAATTAATTCAATAAAGTTTAATGTATTTGGCGTGTGTGTGTGTGTGTTATACGCTTTCATTTGAAGTTTATTGTACCTGTGTAATTTCCATTCATTTCATTGATTTATATAATCAAAAAAAAGAAGATTTCTTCATTGTCATCATCATCATCATCATACGAATCATTCACCTGTAATTTTATAATAATAATAATAAAATGAATTATATTTGTTTCATGTTGTTGTTTTCGATGTTTATCATCATCTTACCTGTCACAATCAAATAATGAATGATGATGGTGGTGGTATGTATTTTGATACCGATTTCAAAAAAAATCATGTAATTATTGTTTGTTTGTTCATTTAGAGTTGAATTGTTCATTTTTGGAATTACCTGTAATGTCAATAAATGAATTTGTCTGCCTTATTTGATTCACGTCTTCATTTAAGAAAAAGAAGAAGCAAACAAAAATCTTTCGTTGCCATACCTTGTTTGGGATTTTAACAACAAATTTTTTCTTGATTAATGGATTAAACGCTTGCAAATATTGTCTACAAACATTCCTAAATTTAAACAATAACAACGATAAAATTATTGTGATAACAAAAAAACTTTCCCCAGATTTTTACATCTATCGGTTGCCAAATAAAACAACGAACAAATCATTATCTTTCCAATCGAATATAAAATTTGGTAAGTTTTATTGATAATATTTTTGCCTGAAAAAAAAATTCTCATAGAAATTTCTACTCATTTATAGAATTTTCATGGCCAACAAAATTTAGAATATTCTTCTATAGCCAATTGTTTTTGCTGCCAAAATTATCAACATTTGCTTGTTTGTATGTGTGCGTGTGGTTACTATCATTAGATTATCATCACACATATAGCCTTGATGATAAATTATTTTATCCCATTTATTGATGATCGACTTGTCAAAACATTAATCAAAATATTGTTATATGGATAACATCATCAAACAAACAAATAAATAAACAAGAAAAATTATAACGAAAACATCAAGTTATCATGAAATGTGTCTATCAAATCAATAACAATTTACAATTGTCAATTGTAAATGTAAACGAATCATCAACAAATTAAAACAACACTAGGAAAAACATTTCAATTGTGAAATTCAATATACGCCCAACATTTTGTTGTTGTTGCTGTTTTTTTTCGGTCAATCATCTAATTGTGTCTGTTATTGTGTTTATTATTGAATCGTCAAATTTCAATTTATTTTATAACGAAAAAGAAAAAACGTTCTTCACCTTTTGTATTCTACGTTTCATTAACGTTTTTCATATATGGTGGTTTGATATCTGAAGTGAAACTAAATTAATTTTCTTTCCATCATTATCAACATCATTTCGTGTTTTTTTGTTTGCTCTTTATAATCATTGTGTTTGTGTGTGCGGTGCTTTGTTCTTTTTTTTCTATTGAAAAAAATAAAATAAAATGTGATTAATTTTAAAATTTTCATTTAATTAATTATCAACCAAATAAATGTAGTTCAAAACACAAAAACAAAACAAAACAATGGACATTGATAATAATAATCATGATAATGTCCAATTTCATATGATGATGCCATCAACATCATCTACAATAATGTCATCAAATATTAATAATAATCGTATTAGTAGCGGTGGTACTAATAATAGTAGTTTGATGATCAACAATGATCAACATTATCAACAACGACAATTATTATCTGCTACATTATCCACATCATCATCATCCTCGGCAACAGCAGCAGCTGTATCCGCATTATCAGCTGCATCTAGCCAACAACAGCAATCATGTATACCACCAATGTATTATGATGATATACCGGAAATTATTCCATATGAAGATTATGATAATGTAAAGGTCAGTTCAAAAACGATGTTTGTTTGTTTGTTTTTTTGAAGTTAGAACGAACATTGTTTCCTGTGTTTACGTAAATTGATTAACATTGCTATTTTGATCCATCTGCAGACAAAAAGATGTAAAGATAGCCGAAAATAGTTGATATATAATATTTTATCAATTGATAAAAGATTTTAATATAAATAATTATTATCATAATAATCATGATAATTAATTAATTATTCATCAGTTTGAATACAAAAAAAAATGAAAATACCGGAATAAATGAATGAAGAGGGAACCAAATGAAAAAAAACGTGACCAACAAATATTTTGATATTCGTTTGTCTGTGTGTGTGTGTAATGGATTGGTGAATGTTGGTATTACAGATTCACACACCACCTACTCCATACATCATTCCAAATGATAAGCAAAAAGAGAAGTAAATTTATTTTATTTGGTCATTTCCAATTTGTTTTGTTTTTTGTTTTTTTTTCTCCAGAACGATCGTTGACCTGATTATACCTGTGCGAATAGAATAATAATAATAAAGAAAAACCGAATGAACCTTATTGTAGTTCCGGTTACTTTTTTTTTATTGTGTGTTTCTCATCATTCATTGCATTTATCAATGACATAAGGAAATATATTCCAACACAAACACACATTACAATCAATGATGTGATGATGGCTACTTGAATTCATTCAATTGTTATCATGGATTTTCAAAATTTTTTTTTCATATTGAAAAAAATAAAAACTATTTATGTAAACTGGGAGAGCGAAAGGGAAAAAGATGCTCTAAATGTTGACATCAAAGCTTATTATTTTCTTGAAAACTATGATCAACAACAAGTCAATCAATCAATTTAATTATCGAAATTTTTGTTTTTTGGTTTCATTCGTAAAAAATCTATTGTTTATTTATGTCTCTCATTCATCTTAATAATGATAATCTTTTTTTTTCTGAATTTTTCATTGATTTTTTTTTGTCTGTGTGTGTTAAGCCCAACATTAAATATGACAGATGAGTGTTGGAAATCCATTCATTTAGTGATGATATAAGATGTTATGTGTGTGTGTGTGTGTGTGGTTTATAAATAAGCTGATTGATGGACAATAACAACAAGTTTCTTCTTTAAATATTTATTATTATCATAATGATGATTATGATAATCGATTATTAGTTTTTTTTCTCTGGTTATATAATAATAACCACATATTTTATAAAGAAGATAATTATAAACATTTTTAACGAAAATTATTATTATCATTTTGAAAATTCCAAATAAAATGATTCATTGTAAACAATTTAATCTCATTATTTTTTTTTTTGTTTTTGTTCTGTTGTGGATAATATTGGTCATCTATCCACAGTGTGATTGATGATGAAATGAAATGTTTATGATCCAAATATTTTAGAAAAGATAATCATAATGATAATGATAGCTTATAGTAGTATCATCATCATCAGCGAATTCATCAATTTCATTTGTAATTGAATCTGAATTTGATCCATACCCGGTAAACAAAGTGAAAAAATTTAAATAAATTTTGTTTTGTTTTTGTTGTTGTTGTTTTGCATATTATTATCATTATTCCTTTACGAATTGATTTGTTATGTAAAATTTTTTCTGTTTCTTCAGCATTACCCAAACCTTTTCTCTTTCAATCCAATCAGAAGACAGAAAACATATTATTATCATTATCCTTGTTTGGAAATTTTATGTGTTCCATAACATCCAATTCGATATGATGGAACAAATTTTTGTTCCTTGATGGTTCCCCCTTTTTTTGGTTGTTTTATTTATAAAACTTTTTCCTTCGATTTGATTTGAATATTTTTATTTTTTAAAATAGTAAAATTCAATTTTCAAATCCCATTCATATTTCAAATTGATTGTCATCATTCATTTTTGACATTTTTTGACAAAACACTTGGAGGATTCATCTAGATTTCTCTTTTTTTATTACAATTTTTTTTTGCTTTTCAAATGAAATAAGCCTTTTTTGGCAACAAACATCATCAATATCGATTCAATCTAATCCAAAAACAGCAGCAACATACAGTAGTAATTGAAAATCGTGTTACGGTTTTTGTTGTTCGTATTTTTTTTATATACTATTTTTGTGGGCTACCGTGTCAAAAAAATTTTTTTCAACGTCTGACTCCTTGTATTTGATTCGTGTCCGGCTTAATATCCAGTTCATTAATCAAAAAAAAAAAATGTTTTTTTGATTAAAAAAAATTAAGATCCATTTCGGATATTAAATTACCCGAAATGAAATGAATGAAATTCATTTTTCTTTTTGCTTTTGTTTTCGGCTTATTCGATTGAACCGTCTTAACGGTTATTAAAGTATATCATAACTTTTTACTCGACGGAGAAATGATGATCCGATGGATAAATTGTAAATTTGTTTTGGATTGAAATCGAAGAAATTGAATTTTTATTTGGCGATGTATTTCTTTCTTTCTCTCTCTCCCATCACGATTTAGACATTTAGATCATTTCGATTGATTTTTATGTTATCATCAATGAAATTCGACATATGGTGAACAGGTAACGATAATAATGATACACCTGTATTGATTCGAATTATTTAATGATCAAAAAAATAATTCCTCCTCATTCATTTTGCTATAGTTATTAATACCGGTAAATGACTTATTTTTTTTCCCTGAAATATCATCATCGATGATGATGATCATATCGTGTTATGATCCATCATTTGGAAAAAGAAAAAAATTGGTTATAACACGTTCTTGTTTTTCATTGTAAACTTTACAAAATTATTATTATTATTATTTATGGGAAACTTTTCATAGTTTTTTTTTTGTTTTGTTTCTTATTTCATTAATTATGTAATCGGATATCCGTATAATATTAGTATCATTAGTAAAATGATGATGGCTAAATCGACTTATCAAACTTTGTGTATGTGTCTGTATAGTGGCTAATTTTAGAATGGAGATCATTCGTGATTCATTCATTTTTTTTTCCTACTCGTTGTTTGTTTGTTTGTTTGTTTCAAGCATTAAAGCTTCAATTTTGAATAAGATAAATAATAAATAAATTATTGATTGATTTGATTTACAAGTTATTGATTTATTGATTGAATAATGTGGATAACGATGATGATGCTCAACGAACATCTTTTTTTCCATTCGATAAAAATCATGATATAATCATCAATTGATTTCAATTTCAACACACCCTTGCTGTTTGATTTGTTAAAAACATGCAAGTATTTTAGGGAAAAAACCGAAAATTTTCTTATGAAAAAAAAAATTTGAAAATGAAAATGGATCATCATCACATAATGAGAAAGTGATGAAATCCTGTTTCTGTGTATTTGTGTAAGAGGATAAGCATCATCAGTTTTTTTAGATTGTTTTTGGCCAAAAAATTTCTCTAATTAATCATCATCATCATTGGATGTTGTTGATGATGATGAATATCAATTTTTCATTTTTGCATTTTTCCGTTTTTTATTTCAACCTGATTGTCCATTCATGTCGTAGATTGATTATGATAATAATAATGTGATGATGATGGATAATTGAATTTGTTTGTTGTTGTTGTTGTTGATGTTGAAAGTTTTGAAAATTTTTCCTTAATTTCAACAAGTTTTCGAAATAGTTAGCGAAAATGTTTTTTTTTTGCTTGGGAAATATTTCCGTTCGTAACAGCAAAATACCTGTTGTTGTTATCACAATGACAATGTTGTTGATTGACATTTTTGTTGGTAAATGAAAAAAACAAAACCAAAATTGACCATTATGATGATGATGATAATGGTTGAGGTCATCATTATCAAACTGTTTTGAAAAAAAAGAATGAAAATGTAAAACAGTTAACGAAAATATAAAGAACGTGTGAAAATTTTTGTTGATAATAATAATAATGATGATTTGGGTGAGAGAATCGTAGTGTTTTTTTCCAACATTTATGACATTTTTTTTGCATAATAATTTTGAAAATTTCTATCTTTATTTCGGGTTTCTCTGATATGTTTGTAATTAAAAAAAAAGAAAAGAAATTTCATCATTTTTTTCCAGTAGGTTATGTTCGTACAACAACATTAATTAATGATAAGTAAATAATGAAAATTTTATCTTTGTTGATGATAATGATGCTTTCTGTTTGTGTATAACGAAAGAAAAACCCATTTTTCTATAGTTTTTTCCGTTTAAAAAAATATGGTTTGTTTCAAGCATCATCATTATCATCATCGTTTGGGTTGCTCCTCTGTTTTTAATATATTCACAATATGATTTATGTGTGTAACCATAAATGTTTAGTATACTTAGTATGGTGTGTGTATCTTGGGTAAGATTCTGGATTTGTTTGTTTGTTGTTGACAAAAAAAACATGTAAATTTCTTTTTGCTTTTTGAAAACTTTTCGGAAAAAAAAGCTTTTGCTTTTCATATTTTTATTCTCTCTAATCCCCCCACACACACAATTTAAATAATGATAATAATTGTGAGAACGAAAAAGATTTTTTTCCAAAAACAAAAAAACAAAACGATTCACAGAAAAAATTTTCATATTTTAACATTTCAGTGTGTGTGTTTGTGCCAGGTTATTTAAGAAATTTTTCATTTCTTACATAATGATGATAATGATGATGAATATTTCGCAATTTTTATATTTTTCAATCAGGTGATCAATGAGGATACATCCAAATAATTGGCATAATAATGGTTATCATTATATCGTTTTTGTTTTTGTTTTTGTTGTTTTTTTCATTTTCCTCAACGAAAAAATTTTCCCTTTCGGATTTTTCGTTTTTATTTTCCCAAAATTTATGTTAATTAGAAATAAGCGACCATTTCATTTTTCTGTAATGATGATAATAATATCTGATATGAGAAAAAATTATCAGATGTGGTTAGATCGAGATTTAAAAAAATGTTTTTCTTTTTGTCCCCGAAAATATCTGATCAATAAGATTGTTTGTTGTTTTTTTTGTGGCATCCAAAATGATGATGATTATTTTTTTTCCACTGAAAA